CCGACTCCTATTCCCACCGCTGCTGGGCATGTTTATTCTTCATTTTTTCAGTTGTTGTAACTAAATTATAAATCTTTATCGAGATATGCATTGACAAAATAAAGTGTGCAAATTCGTACGTATATCACAAAGAAGGGGAAGGAAATATGTTTTTCTGAAGCTAAGACAAATAAACAATGTTCATAATATTTGGCACAAAGGTAGAGACTCACGAGAACATATGACTGAATAGAAATCAATACCGGGAGGTGGGTCACCGATTCGAGACCTAGCAAAATTTCGAGAGTTTTTCTCGATAAGAAAAGTGCAAAAATTTGCGCAGCACCTTACATCACGGTCGGTGGCTGGGAGTGTAAACGGCGAGTGGAGCAACAATTCAGTGGGAATCATATCCTAGAATGCTCCAATCCAGGCTCATTGAATTTATGAATATCTTAGAGAGTCACTTGTTCTATTTCCAAATAAAACTGCAAACAGCAAAACTTCACTTCTTTCCATATGATGACACGAATTCATTTTTTTCTTAGAAGGTCGAGCTCGCGTTGGAAAGTTTACGAAATTATACTACGCGGATTTCTGATGTATAACGTGTAAATTTTTTTGGTAGAGCATTCTTGGAAGCAAAAAGCTAACTAGTTCCATCTCAAAGTTTGTAGTACCTAACTGATCTCAAATAAAAAAAAAAACAAACAAGATATAGGCTAACACATACCGGGCGCTCAGTTCTCAAATGCATTTTAGTGTGTTTCAAAAATACGAGGAATTAAACGCTAATAATGATAGGAGCCACGATCGTAGCCGCGGCTCATATCAACGTCGTCGTAGTCGTCGAACCCGTGTCGATCAGCATGAGGGCCCACTCGTGTGGACGGGCCTCCCATCGGTCCAAGTGGCCCTCGCTGTTGGCCCATCACCATCGGTCCAGGCGCACCGCCTCGCGATGCCATATTCACCGGCTGCATCATCGGGGAACTGCTTCCGGGCGGAGGTGCTTGGTACATACCGACACCAGTCTGCAAAAAGTCGAAAGGATTACGGAAAAGCGTTTCCGTGTTGCTGTACCCCAAGAAGGGATTTTATAATTTTGGAGCGACGAAAGAAAGTAAAAATGGTTTAGGAAACATAGTGAGTAATCTAATAGTTTTGATAAGCTTAGTACCAATTACTGGCGGTGCTTCCAAAAGCTACATCTTCTTTAGAAAAGAACCTCTTCAGGCAATACCTTCATCCACTTGTAAGAGACATTTTAGCCTTTCACCCCCCATTTTCTTAAACCTCATGAAATAGTCAGAAACTCTTTTTGCACGCAAGGTGTGAAACCAGAAGAGGATGACTGGTGTGTCTGATCCACCTGCAAATTAATGGTCGGGATCGGTTGTTGTCGACCAGGCATCTGTTGCATAGGTGGGGTGAGGTATGGTGCATGTGGAACTGGCCCTCCCATTGGTGGTCCGAGTTGTCCTGTAGATGGTTGCTTTTGCAATCCCATTGGACCTCCTCCGCCCATCATAGGACTTGCTCCTCCCATACCTGTTCCCTAGAGAATGATTGTCATTGCCATCCCTGAGAAAAGTGAATGAGACCATCTTACCTGCATCATTTGCGCAGCGGTGAAAATTTGTGTAGGACCACGATTTTCCATAGGATTTCGCTTTATTCTCGGTGGACTTCGCACTGGTGGATGTGTCGCTCGCCAGTAAGCTTCGAGAAAATCAGCAAGATGCTCGCACGCATCCTCCAGCTGATTTTCGTCCAATAACACATCAAACAATTCCTGAAAAGCAATTAAACAATTGAACGGTTGAGTAGCCCTTGGCATGTCAGAAAAGGAACTTCGGACGGCTTTAGCGCAATAACGGAGTTCGTAGGCGGGCGATTTTGCGTAGCAGTTAGGTGGTTCATTATACACCTATTCAAAAAAAA